AATGCTATAAGTAGAGACAAATTATATTCACAGTAAATTTTACTTTTCTAATCTTCTTCCTTTTATTTATTTTTTGCTATTAATTGATACTTTCATTTTCGCTTGCTCAAGTGGTAAGTTGGAAGCGAAACTGACATTTTTATTCTGAAAAGACACATTTTAACTTCATGTTCGTATTGTTCAATTTAAGACAAGAATGGACAAATCATCCTCATTAGAGTTATCTGCGTCCGAACTATTCAATATGTCTACCCAACCGCGCAACAAATTATATCAAATTACTCAAGATTTGAAACGAAGTTTAATGCGACGAAAACCGACGCAATTACCATTTCAAAATATTCCTCAACAAGCTGCTAATCTTGATACACCGCCGTCTGTAGCAGAGGAGGTATGTAACCTTTCGTTTACATCCAAAATAAGATAAGAAGATATTGTTTACTTTAGTTGATCGACTCTGTACTGAAACTTGTTTTAGACTTACGTGGTAGGAAACTATAAAACAGCAATATTTAAGAGTATCTATAATTCTAAGTCGAGGCAACAAATATCAATTAAGATCTTGGATCTAAGTCCAATATTAGACATGTTTATTTCTAATATTTGTATGAGTTAAATGGAATCAGAAGGTCGAAGTATTCTAAAATTTGACTCGAAGTTGATAGTTCTAACGTATCATCGTAACGAATAGATGTTGCATTAATTTTACATGTCAACAGCGACGTCTATCCCCGCGACGTCTACCCCCCCGGTGAAATTTGAAGTAAAGTGCTGCTGGTTTTCAAATCTCTTCGTTCCACTTATATAGCAGTTGACCGCATTCAAAACAGTACACTGTGTCACAGTGGGTATATAGGCGGAATTTTGGCCAAAACTAGAAAGTGCTCTTTTTTGTGATTTGATTTCTAGAATACGCGTATAAAATATTTTGTATAGAACTGCTACGAAATACATTATAGATTTTAACAAAACCTCATTAATTTATTATCGATTTCGAGCTTCGACATTCTAACTAATGTCATCATCAGGAAACAAGTGTGAAAAATGAATGAATAACTATATATAGAAATTCAAAAACCACGTGATAAAGAACACACCGAAGTAAGGAAGAACAAAGATAGAACTAGTATTCGAATACTAGTTCTATCTTTGTTCTTCCTTACTTCGGTGTAGTTCTTATCAGTATTACTTTCAATCTATCTATTTCAGTTTTTGAATAGGATGGCGATGAACAGATTAGTAAGATACGAATGACAAGTGTTCTGATTAACCCTAGTTTATATTTTCTAGGTTGATTGCTATCATAGAGAAGATATAAATCGGTATGGGTAGGTTTACGATAAATCGTAGTTAAAAATTGGAAAAGCAAGCTGCAATGTAAGATAAGAACTATTCAGCAAAAAATTAACAGACAAACTAAGCTACTTCTTCTGAAAATACGAAATACTCGAACTTAGACGTCATAGTCATGTTTAAAAGTAAGGAGAATTTATTTATGTCAATACGACATTTTCTTTTTCTTAACCATGTAAACAATTAGTGTTAAAGCCTAAAATATATATACAACAAAATAAAATAAAAGT